GAGGGGCTGGGACAGAGACACCTACAGCCGATCCCTAAGACGTGTGGGGCTGCACAGAAACAGCCCCTGAGTGGACTGAGTGCCAACTGTCAGGTCTGTGGGTTTCCTCAGCATTAATCTTCCCAGGGAAGCAGTCAATTTGAAAAGCAATTTTCTAAAGAGACATTATCAGCAAAGTTAGTGGAGGGTGCTCCACTAAAATTAGAAGGAAAAATACAACTGGTCCTGAGTGTCTGCACAAAGCCAGCTGTGTGCAATGAGGAGAGCAAACCCAAGCCTGCTCACTGGCGGTCAGCAGCCACGTGTCCCCCGAGGGCTGACACATAAACCGTCCCCACTCTCCCCTGCACCCAAGAGAGCTATTCACTCAGCTCTTTCAAGGCTGGGGCAAAGTTGGAATTTTGAGTGAATTTGGAAGTAGATGTTAAAACCTGACACGAACGCCAGAAGCAGCATGGGAGAGAGAGAGAGAGAAGCATGTGCTGGGTCCCGAACCAGCTGTAGGACCGTAGACCCGTCACTGCCAAGCTGCAGCATCTTCCCGTGTGAGGTAATGCCCACCTGTTGAGTGTTCTGTGCCTGCCACAGAGCAGACATCTTCAACACTCAAGGAAGGGTGGCTGTTATTAATAGTATTGTTACCCTAATAAAACAACTGTAGCACAACTAATTATTTTTACACAGCTGAGGATTCAGAATGCAAACAGCATGCCACGGGCTCCTTCTGGAAAGCAGTGCCTATTTCTAGACACGAGGCAGTCGGCCACTTATTTGCAACAATATGCAATCAAGATACAAGCCAATCCTCAGGCCCCCAAGTTGATCTTTGATGAGACTCAAACACAAGGCTCCTTTCTGTACACATTCCCACAAAGTTCAGAGAGCAGCTCAAACCTCTCGTGGCTGCTTCATTTTCTGCAGCGAATGAGTTCCAGAACGTGGCCTGTAGGACTATTGAAGGATCTCAGCAGTCTCAGTCCTATAAGTGACCATCTCCTATTTCAACCTATAAATTAACTGTTCCTGAGGGAATAAGGCTTTGCTTTTCCTTCAAAATAAGGACGGATTATATTCTCTTCTTCTCATAAAAGCAATATATGGTCAGAAAATACAAGTGGACCAAAAAAAAAAAAAAAAAAAGAGGTGATAAGAAACCCTTGGCAATCCTGTTCCTCTGCTCTCCGGACACCATGATGCCTGCCGAGAAGCTTTCCTGTGAAAGGGGGAAATGGTGTTCTTTCTCTTCCAAGCTTGCTGTTTTTCATTCACACGGGGCTTTTAATTTCATTTCAAAGTGACATAACCTTCCAAGAAGAATCCGTTGGAATATTCCGTCTCTCAGGGGCTTAGTCGCCATGCATTCAGTGGGCATTCACATGGCAGGGCAGGAATGACAGAGCTCTGCAAGCAGGCAATACCTCCATGGCACTAAACAAGCCAGACTCCCCAAGAGTACCTGGAGTGTCCTTCAACCCCCACATGGACGCCAACCCCAAGGCTGCTGGGACAATTTGTGAATCCTAATATAAGTCAGGGTGGTTGTCTCCACTCTAATCTGTCTTCTGCTTTCCAAGGTGAGGACAAAATGCCGATCATGTTTTAGCCTCCTCCAGCCCTTCTCACAGATACACTCCCTCTTCCCTCAGGCAGAGCAACAGGCAGCCTGTCTTCTAATTTCCCCTTCTGCAAGGAAGGGGACAGCCGAGAGTCATTTGTCCCAGCTCAAAGCAGCTATGGAGGAATCTGGATGAGGCGTGGCATCTACTGAAGCCCCCTTAGCCATGGTGTGCTTAAAGGTTGTTTATGGCTTGGTCCAAAATAGATTTCTCTCTTTCTATCCTAAGAGATCAGCTCGGCCCTGAAATACCTTCCCTCCTGTATGAAAGACCTCATTGTTCATTTACGGAAACCCTGTTGCATGTAGGCGGTGGATCTGATTCCCAGCTTCTGATGTGGCCCTGCCATTTCTGATTCTTAGCCAGTCAAAGAAATATTTCCAGTTTCCCCTGGGGAAAGCAATGTCACTTTTCTGCCAGAGTTTCCGTGAATTGGCTTGTAAAGGGACTGTCACTTGATGAACTCTTGGAGAATTCCAGAGCCCCTGAGGCTCAAGTCTAGAAGGACCTGCCTCTTTGTCTTTGTAGAGCTCAGAAGTAGAATGTGGCATTTCACTCATACCTGAGGTCTGGACATCCCAAGAACCTCCAGCAAGGTGGCAGGAAGACCTGCCAAACAGAATTGACAGTTTGACAAAAACGGAACATGCTTATAAGAGAAGGCTGAGAGATTTTCATGGTGGTGGTGGTGGTGGTGGTGGTAGTGGTATCGGGTTCAAAATGAACATATGCAAATAATTTACATCTGTGCTATCCAGTATAGGGAACAACTAACCACAGGTGACTGTTTAATAAAATTAGATAAACTTGAATTAATTATTAAATTTAATTAAAAATTCAGTTCCTGGGGCACCTGGGTGGCTTAGTTGGTTAAGTGTCTGACTTCGGCTCAGGTCATGATCTCACGGTTCGTGGGTTCGAGCCCCACGTTGGGCTCTGTGCTGACAGCTAGCTCAGAGCCTGGAGCCTGTTTCAGATTCTGTGTCTCCCTCTCTCTCTGACCCTCCCCTGCTCATGCTGTCTCTCTCCCAGAAATAAATAAAACATTAAAAAATTTTTTTAATAAATAAATAAAAATTCAGTTCCTCACTTACACTCATCAAATGCTCAACAGCCACATGTGACCAGTGGCTACTATATTGGACAGTACAGGTATAGAACACTTGCATCACTGCAGAAAGTTCTAATGGCCAGTTCTGGTCTAAGCATTTGTAAATATATGACATATGAGTGTGTGTACATATTTTATCTGCACAGCAATTCTTCCCAGTATAAGAAGTAATATCTCCATTGTACAAGTAAGGAAAATTAGCTCAGATAGTTCAAATACTTTGCCCATAACTGGACCCACATAGCTCTGTACCTATAGGTGGGTGCCCAAATGATTATTGGTCATGGATCAGCTTACCTGTTAAGTTTCTGTACCTACCGTGAGTAAATTACATCTTTTTTTTTTTT